TGTGTGGCTCTTAATAAAGGAACATAGATAATGTCACAGTAAGTAATACCGTGTTTCCCCGAAAATAAGACCCTGTTTTATATTTTTTATATTTTTTTGAACCCTGAAATAAGGGAGATCTTATTATTTTGGGGCGCAGGGAACAAGATGGGGCTTCTCTTGCTGTCTTACCTGATTTTCAGCTCTGTCTCCCTAACCTTAATCAGAGGAAATGGCGGGGACCAGCTGTACATGCGTTTAAATATTTTGGGGGAGGTCTTATTTTTGGGAAGGGCTTATTTTCAGGGGGGCTTATTTTAGCGCATGTGCTCAAAAGCCCGATTGTGCTTATTCTCAGAGGATGTCTTATTTTTTGGGAAACAGGGTAGCATTCAGTGGTGAAATGTAAAATTTGTTACTACCGGTTCTGTGGGTGTGGCTTGGTGGTGGTGGGGTAATATGACTGAGTAGGCATAGCCAACTTTTTTTTTTTTTTACTTTTAAAACCATTTTTTCTACAACCTCTTCAGCTGAAGAGGTTGTAAAAAAAATGCTTTTAAAAGCTTCTGACGATCCCAGCTGAGTTGCCTGATCGGCAGAGGCTTTCTTTTTAAAAAAAAAAAAAGCTTCAGATGATCCCAGCTGACTTGCCTGATCGGCAGAGGCTTTTTTTTTTTTTAAGCCTCTGATGATCCCAGCTGAGCCACGTGATCATTAGAGGCTTTTTTTTTTTAACTTTTAAAAGCATTTTTTCGGCCAAAGAGGTTGTAGAAAAAATGCTTTTAAAAGCCTCTGATGATCCCAGCTGAACCACGCGATCATTAGAGGCTTTTTTTTTTAACTTTTAAAAGCATTTTTTCGCTCAAAGAGGTTGCAGAAAAAATGCTTTTAAAAATTAAAAAAAAAAAGCCTCTGATGATTGCGCGGCTCAGCTGGGCAATGGGGGGGGCAGGGATTTTTGCTACCGGTTCTCTGAACCACCCGCCTCCATCGCTACCGAATCGGGCAATCCGGTCCGAACCGGGAGCATTTCACTCCTGGTATCACTCTTCAGTAAGGAGTAAACCAAGGCAAAAAAAAAATTATAACATGCATTTGTTGCCAGGGCAATTAAAAGGGAAGAAAAGTGACGTGCTTAATCATGTGAAACACTAAAAAAAGATTGCTAAAGATCTTTTCTCTAATTAATGGCAACATCAGAGGTGAGTAATTAGCACATGGGAGAAAACTCCCGCCGTACTAAAATCCTGACTCACAGTTGAAATGTCATCCAAGAACTTCAAATAAAAACCCAAACAAAGAAATCGTGACAGCAAGAACCTTTCACGAAATTAAAAAAAGGGTAATTCCCTTCGATCCTGATCCAACTTCCTCATGGTTTGTCTTACACATCAGAGGGGGGAGGTATGTTACACAACTCTGCTGTTGTTGCTGATACTACAGCTGCTTTAAGCAACAGTCATGGAAGGAATGGGAAGAAAAGCAAAGGTTACGATGCTGAGTGGCTACTTCGGATCAGTGTTTCTCAATCTATGGAGATTCTCCACCATCCAGGTCATCGTTGTCCCAAAGGGGCTTTTTCAAGAGGCAATTGGATTTGTAGATGTTTCACTTCTTGTCCAAGAAGCTTCTTCAGCTCTGACTGGATGGAGGCAGAGATGGGGTCAGGGCTGTCTTGACAGTTATCAGCTGCCTTCGGAGTCGGACATCAGTGAGGCAGAAGAACAGCTGAAGCCTGTTCCCAATGTGCGCATGCGCAGAGCTGCCAGAAGAAAGGAACTGTTGTGGTCCGCCAGCAAGCTGCGGAGCTGGCAGCACAGTCGGTGTTGTGGCCCATCAGCGGCCTGTGCAGCTAGTAGCTGATTCCGACAACAAGGAGGCTGGTGTGGTACTGCGCCAGCAGCCTGTGCAGCTGGCGCTCGAGTCGGACAGTGAGGAGGCTGGAGAAGATGTGGTGCCAGAGGTGGGGATTCAGCCAGGGCCTTCAGAACCTCCAGAAGCTCCCATAAGTGAAGAGGAAGAAGAGGAGGAGCCTCTTCTCGATGCACGGGCGCGCAGAGCTGCCAAAAGGCAGGAGTGGCTCCTCAGGAGAAGGTCTCCTCGAGAGTAAAGCTTGGCGCTAATTGGCCACTCCCTTAGCCTATTTAAGGAGGAACGCCAACAGAAGCAATTTGCAGGGAACAACTTCATCCACATAACTTCGTGTCTTGTCTTGCTTATCTTATCAGCTTCCTGCAAATTGCTTCCGGGCATTCTGCTAACCACAGTAAGCTTTGTGTTATTATTCTTTGAATTCTTGGCGGCTGTTAATGCTGGTTTATTTAGTAAACTAAGGTTTGAACGGACTTTGTGTGTGCTGTGTTCTTTGGGGTCCGTAGCTGGGGCAGAACAGATGCTGGGATGTGGGCAGCCATTACCGTAACCTTTGGACAGCTGTACAGGTGCACCAGCTACCCCTTCCTGCTCCTAAATTTAGCTGCTCCTGTAGCACAGCACAGGGTAGCCAGAAAGGCCCCCTTTTTCCCCAAATCCTCAACTTAGGACTTTAATTGCAACCAGCATGTCTGTTGTTACGCGAGGCAGTTAAGTGAGATGGGCTCAATTTTATGATCTTTTTTTTTATTGCCACAAGTTTTTTAATCGAATCACTGCGGTTGTTAAGTGGGTCACGTGGTCGTTAAGCAAATCCACTTTCTGATACCGTTTGTCAGAAGCACGCTGGGAAGGTCTCAAAGGACAATCGTGCGACCCTGGGAAGCTGCAAGGTTTGTAAGTGTGAAGTCATTTTTTTTCAATGCTGTTATAATGGACCTAAACAAATGGTTGTAAGTCAAGGATCACCTGTACTACACAGTGCTAGCCCACCTCACAGGGCAGATGCTGGGCCTGTAGCTGATCTACGGGGCAAGTGATGCACCAGGAGAGCTGGGTTTTCAGCCATCCAACCCTGCAGCCCTGGCAGGATGTGGGTTGGCCCTGCAGCCAAAGTGTGGTGGAATGTGGTCTGGATTCCCAGGAGGGAGGGGCTGCATTCCTGAGGGCCAAGAGATAACGAAGCTTAGATCATTTGGTTGGGAGGAAGAGAGTTGAGAAAGCTCCTCCCTGGCAACTCTCAAAAAATCTCTTTAATCTAGGGACCTTGGTGCTCACTAAGCTGGGTTGTTTTCTTGAAGACGTTTCACTACCAAGCTAGGTAATACCATCAGTGCTAGAAGGCAGTGAGAGCAAGCGCCATTCCCTTCTGATGTTACCTAGTTTGGTAATGAAACATCTGCAAGAGCACCAAGGAGCCCTCATCTCAACCCCGAGCTACAAATATTTTCTACATTTTTAGTGCTGCAAATATTTCCTTTGGTCTAGCACGATTTCTGTTTAGAAGAGAAGGACAAGCAAGAAAAAGGCTCCGGTGTCATGGACCTGCCCCCGCGGCCCTCTCCGGACACGAGTTTGGAGGAGGAGGAGGAGAAGGAGTTTGAGTCAGCAGAGGAAACCGCAGAGCTGAGCAATGGCCCGGGTTGGGACTCGGAGAGTGCTAGCCTCATGAGGCAGCCTCAGCTGGGTTGATCGGACAAACGACAGGTTGAGGCTGAACAAGATGAGCTGCGGAGAGGTGGCCAGAAGGCACCAGGCAAGGACAGGGAGCAGCTGCTGACTGTTAGTGATGAGGAAGAGATGGAGTCCACACCTCCTCCTCAGGGGTGAAATCCAGCAGGTTCTGACAGGTTCTGGAGAACAAGTAGCGGAAATTTTGAGTAGTTCGGAGAACCGGCAAATACCACCTCTGGCTGGTCCCAGAGTGGGACGGGAATGGGGATTTTGCAGTATCCTTCCCCTGGAGTGGGGTGGGAATGGAGATTTTGCAGCATCCTTCCCCTGCCATTCCCACCAAGCCACACCCACCAAGCCACGCCCTTAGAACCGGTAGTAAACAAAATTGGATTTCACCACTGCTCCTCCTGATCCAAGGACACCTACGGCCTGCCAGTTTGACACCCCCGATCTACAGGGTCAAAACATTTGCTGCATTTCCCCAAAAAATACACAATTGCAAAGAGATAGTTCGCCACTTATGACTGGTCACTTGGTGACTATTCCCAAACGCACAAAAAACGTTATTTATGACCGTGTTTCAAAGTTATGGCTGCTGCAGCAGCCTTGGCATCGTCCACCCTTAAAACCAATCCCAGGGACCTGCAGTGCCCCCTCTCCCCTCCCTATCTCCCTCCCATCCTGTCCCATCGGATCCGCACAATCCTTGGACCTGTTTTCCACCCACTCTCCCCACCCCTTGTCACCCATTGAGGATATATGTTTTGAAGATCTCCAGAAGAGCCTCAGGAAGATCTCCAGATCTTATTTATTTATTTATTTATTTATTTATTTATTTATTCGTTCGATTTATATGCCGCCCTTCTCCGGAGACTCAGGGCAGTTTACAATGCGTTAAGCAATAGCCTTCATACTTTTGTATATACCTGCTAAGTAGGGCTTTTGGCACCCCCCCAAGCGGTGTTCTATTTTATACAAAGTCAGCTTATTGCCCCCACAATCCGGGTCCTCATTTTACCTACCTTCGAAAAGATGGAAGTCTGAGTCAACCTTGAGCCTGGTGAGATTTGAACTTGCAATAATTGCAGGCAGCTGGTGTTATCTTAACAGTGCTTTAGTCTGCTGCGCCACCAAGGCTCTTTTATCTCGTGTTGGGGAAGGAGGGAAGGCCACTCAGCATCCGTGGACCGCCTGGTTGTGTCCCAGAAGTGAACGCCATTTTCTGAGCAGCTGCTGGAAATTGTGCCCCTCCAAAATGGCAGCTCCTCCTGGGACGCAGCTGTGTGGTCCAAGGACGGAGGGGGTTTATTGTGCTTTCCCAGTGGGGTCTGCGCAAGGTTGTGGAGACTCCGTTAGAGAAGCCGAATGAACCGGCCACCCTTCCTTTCCATAGCACTTTTTCTTTCATCGAGGATGGGGAGTGTCAAGTTTCCGAAAGATGCCCTAATTAATTCATGAGCCATGATCCAAACTTCAAAGGGATTATAGTCATTTATTAGGAGCAACATTCCGGCAATACTCGGATGCAGTTAGGACTGATCATACGTAGATTTACATTCCCCTATGCCCCTGTCTCTCCCCTCCTCTCTGGCCATGTCATAAATCACATTCTCCAATTAACCACTTTGGCTGGCTGTGAAACCTAACACCCTCCTTCTGATTGCGGTCAGAAAGAATGTATGGAATTCACTTCAGTTCTCCCTCCCTCCTGCTCATGGCAACTTGAAAGCTTTGCAAGTTGACAGGGAGACTGATTTTTCTTTTGAACAGCTAGCTTTTTTATAAATACTTTAACTCGACGATCAAAGTCCACAAACGACCAACCATTTTATACCTACGATACAATAAACCCCCGTATCGAGTGGCCTCATCAAACCACAGAGAACCTGCTCAGGACGTTCTGCAGAATGCGTTCCAACTTCAGCTTCGTCAGGGCTACCTGGACCATATTCCATGCTTGCTGCCTCCCATGCAGTCTCTTGAGCAGAAACAGGTGGTTATGAAGGTCCACCTGGAGCTCTTCGATGGGCTTCTTCTTCTCCGTCCCAGGAGCAATTTGAGTGAGCTGACTATGCAGTTGCTGGAGCCTTCGTGGGGACTTCAGCTGGAAGGGTACAAAATCAAGGGCTGCCTTGAGACAGACTCCCGTACCTAGAAGAGAAAGAACAGGTGAGAAACACACATCGAATAAGAGATGCTGGGAGAGCCAGTTTGGTCTAATAGTTAAGGCACCACTTAAGAAAGCAGGAGACGGTGAGTTCTAGCTCTGCCTTAGGTATGAAAGCTGACTGCGTGACCTTGGGTCAATTACCAGGAGACAGTGAGTTCTAGTCCCACCTTAGGCATGAAAGCCGGTTACTTGACTTTGGGCCAATCACCAGGAGACGATGAGTTCTAGTCCCGCCTTAGGCATGAAAGCCAGCTGGGAGACTTTGGGCCAATCAGCAGGAGATGGTGAGTTCTAGTCCCGCATTAGGCATGAAAGCTGATTAGGTGATTTTGGGCCAATCACCAGGAGACTGTGAGTTCTAGACTGGAACTGGCCTGCCCCATTCACAGAAGGGGCATAGAACATAGAGTCACAGGACTGGAAGGCACCTTGGAGGCCATCTAGTCTAACCCCCTACTGAAGTCAGGAGAGCCTATATCACTCCAGACAAAATGGCTGTCCCGTCTCTTCTTAAAAGCCCTCAGTGTTGGAGCACCCACAACTTCTGGTGGCAAGTCATTCCAAGGGTTAATTGTTCTCCCTGTCAGGAAATTTCTCCTTAGTTCTAAGTTGCTTCTCTCCTTGCTTAGTTTCCATCCGTTGCTTCTTGTCAGGTGCGTTTGAGAATAGCTTGACTCCCTCTTCTTTGCGGCAGCCTTTCAAATATTGGAAGACTGCTATCACGTCACCATGCTCTGGACTTGATCAGCCAAGGAATTTCAGCTAGTAGGGCCTAGGAGAAGAATCTTTTCTGCCATGGCCCCTGACCTCTGGAACATCTTGCCACTGGAGGTGTTGTGCTCCGCTAGCAGCTTGCAGAGCTGGCAGCGGAGTCAGACAGTGAGGAGGCTGGGGAGGAACATGGGCCAGTCCTGGAGTCTGGGGAAGGCCCAGACGAGGGCTCTGCGTCGGAGGCAGAGATGGGGCCAGAGCCATCGGGGAGTGATGTATGGACTCCAGAGGCTGACAGTAGAGAGGCAGAGGAACAGGAGGAGCCTGTTCCTAGTGCACGCATGAGAAGAGCTGCCAGAAGGCAAGAGCAGCTAAAGCAAAAGGGACGACTCGGGAGTAAAGCCAGGAGATGATTGGCCCCTCCCATAAGGCTTAAAAGAGAAACAAAGGAACTTGGAGCCTTTTGCAGGAAAGCAACGTTGCTAACTCTGTTTCCAGTTGGAATCTCTTTATTGTTTCTGAACTTTGTGGGGCTTTGCCAAGTAAGGCCTTTGGCAGGGTGTCAAAGAAGGTTGGTGATTATTCTGAAGGACGTATTTTGCTACTAATTGGGACTCAGCTGGGAATGAACGTAATTCTCAGCTGTTACAATAAAATAGGTTTGTTTCGGACTAATTGTGTCTTTTTTTTTTTTTAATTTGATTTATATGCCGCCCTTTTCCGGAGACTCAGGGCGACTTACAATGCGTTAAGCAATAGCCTTCATCCTTTTGTATATACCTGCTTTCGGCCCCCCCTAAGCGGTGTTCTATTTTATACAAGGTCAGCTTATTGCCCCCACAACTGGGTCCTCAATTTACCTACCTTAGAAAGGATGGAAGGCTGAGTCAACCTTGAGCCTTGGCGAGATTCGAACCTGCAGTAATTGCAGGCAGCTGTTCTTAATAACAGGGTGCTTTAGACCACTGTACTACCAAGGCTCCTGAAATGAGTCTTGAAATGACTCAGTAAGCCTAGAATCACAACAGGAGGGGAGATCCACCCCTATCCTTTTCGCCTTCCATCTGAGGCCTTCCCAGCTTCGGACAAGCAAAGTCGATGGCAATCATTAAGCAGATTCACTTAATAACCATGTGATTCACTTAACAACTGCAATGATGGGCTTAACCACCATTGCAAAAAGGGTTGTAGCATGGGGCATGTCTCACTTAAGAACTGCCTGCTTAGCAATGGAAACTCTGCTCCCAGTTGGGATTCTAAGTTGAGGGTCTCAGAGGGGGGGCGGGAGGGGTGTCTTACCTAAGCCCACCTCCAGGTCTTTTTTAGTTCTGCAGGCGGTGCAATAGGCATCGTGGAAAATGGTGCCAGGCACGTTGACCCGAAGGTCTTCCGCGTCGCAATTCCTGTGGGTCTGGCAGGTCTCTTCAATGGAATGCTTGCTGGAAAAGCTCCCCTCTGGGCAGACACTGCACTGGGTATCTTCTCGGGGGTTGCCTGGAAAAACGGGAGCAGAAGAAAAGGTCTAGCTTTCTCTCCAACCACGTTCCATGGCTGCTGTCTTGCGGGAGGACTTTATCAATGCATGTCAACATAGTAAAATAAAACCTTAAAAAGCGGGGAGAAGTGGAAGGAAGGGAAGGGAGAAGAAGGGAAGGGATGAGGAGGGGAGGGGAGGGGAGAGGAAAGATGAGTGGAGAGGAGAGGAGAGCAGAGGAGAGAAAAGGGAAAGAGGAGAGGAGAGGAAAGGAGTGCAGTGGAGAGGAAAGGAAAGGAAAGGAGAGGAATGGAGAGGAGTGGAGAGGAGAGCAGAGGAGACAAAAGGGAAGGAAGAGAGGAGGGGAGAGGAGAGAAAAGGGAAGAAGGAGAGGAGAGGAAAGAGAAGTGGAGAGGAGAGAAAAGGGAAAGAGGAGGGGAGGAAAGAGGAAAGGAGTGGAGAGGAGAGGAGATGAGAGGCGAGAAAAGGGAAAGAGGAGGAGAGGAAAGGAGTGGAGAGGAGAGAAAAGGGAAAGAGGAGAGGAAAGGAAAGGAGAGGAGTGGAGAGGAGTGGAGAGGAGAGCAGAGGAGACAAAAGGGAAGGAAGAGAGGAGGTGAGAGGAAAGAAAAGGGAAAGAGGAGAGGAGAGGAAAGGAGGGGAGAGTAGAGGAAAGGGAAGGAGGAGAGGAGAGGAAAGAGGAGAGGAGGAAGGAGAGGAGAGGAAAGGAAAGGAGATGAATGGAGTGGAGAGGGGAGGGGAGGGGAGGAGAGAAGAGAAGAGAAGAGAAAAGGGAAGGAGGAGAGGAGAGGAGAGAAAATGGAAGTAGGAGGGGAGAGGAAAGAGGAGTGGAGTGGAGAGCAGAGGAGAGGAGAAGAGAGGAGAGGAGGGTGGAGAGGAGAAGAGTGGAGTGGAATGGAATGGAAAGGAGAGGAGAGAAAACGGAAGGAAGAGAGGAAAGAGGAGTGGAGAGGAGTGGAGTGGAGAGGAGAGGAGGAAGGTTGATGTTATGTATATAGTTTTGGCGGGAAGTTTAAAAGACAATGGGTCAATTGTGATTGGTCAGCTCCCGGCCCAGCAAGGTATATAAAGGGAGCTGTGTTACTATATCTTTCACTGAATTCACACCGTACATTAAAGAGCTGTTGTTACTACGGACCAGTGGTGGGTTCCTCCCGGTTTGGCCCAGTTCGGCCGAGCCGGTAGCGGTGACGATATGACATCACCGAACCAGTTCTGCCCCACCCCCACCACCCCCGCGTTATTCTTACCTTTTATTTGGCCCCACCCCCAATCTATTGCTGCCAAACTACTCCCAAGAGATGTTAGCTTGTTCCAGTTTATCCCCCTCAAAGCCCCCCACCCACCCAAGGAACAGGTTGTTGTCTGTCTTCCTCCCCGGTACGTACCGTGCTGAACCACTCCACTTCCTGGTGGGCACTTGGTGTGCTTGATGCAAAGGAGCTTCTCGGCGTGGTAGCCCGGCTTGCACTCACATACCCTGTTCTGGGTCAACATGCACGGCGCCACCTCCACCTCCAGGGTGCCACAGGGGAAGTTGCAGTACATGCACCTGTCCAGGGTGTTCCAATACGGGATGTACTTCCCGTAATCACACGTCAGGCACTCGGTGAAGTCGTCCCGGGTACAAGGTTTGACTATGCTCATCCCCGGGGGGCACTTGTGACACAACAGCTTCTCGTGGGTCTGGGGGTCTATCCATTCGAATTTGGGCAGGGAAGCAGAGTACTCCAGAGTCAGGCTACTCCAGAGCAAGACGCTCCACATCGCCCACTAGAGACCGGGGAGAAGGAAAACAGGTTAGCAGAGATTCCCAGACACCGCTAGTCCTCGACTCACGATCACAATGGAGCCCGAAATTCCCACGGCTAAGCAAGACAGTTATTGTGAGTTTTGCCCTGCTTTACGACCATTCTTGCCATAGTTTTACCGCGAATCGCTACAGTTGTTATATTAATAACGCGACTGTTAAATGAATCTGGCTTCCCCATTGACTTTGCTCGGCAGAAGGTCGCAAAAGGGGGTCATGTGACCCCGGGGACACAGCGACCGTCATAACTACAAGTCAGTTGTAAAGTCAGCCTTTAATCATCTTAATTGCTCTTCCAAAGCTTAAACATTTTGTATGTAACGTGGTGACCAAAACTGCATGCAATATTTGGCCGTACTAAGGATTTATAAAGCGGTACTAACGGTTCATGTGATTCGGTTTCCAATGACTTGAAACAAAAGCACGAATCAGCAATTCAGACATTTTACACCCAATTAGTTTTTTCTTGACTCCGTAATGGGTGGAGAACAGCAGTGTGGAAACGCTACGTGCGCTTAAGAAGCCCCAAGCAGAACATGGAGACAACAGTGTGGCGTCCTTGGTGCCCCTTAAACTTGGTTGCTTTCTGGAAGACGTTTCATTACCCAACAAGCTAACATCATTAGTATGAAGGCGTGTGGAGTTTGCTCCCTTTTTATATGCAGTTGATTGCCCTGGTAGTGTTGGTGGCAGTGTGGTCCCCATCCCTTGGTAGTTCCTTGATTAGGGCATTGTTTTCTACTTGATTGTTTGTCTGGTGTTAATCCCTGCTTATCTGGGTTTCTCTTTCTGTGGAATCCTTAGTGATTTCCAAGCTTTCTTGTTTCCTTGCAGAAGTTCCATTAACCAACTAGGTAATATTGATGTTAGAAGGGAGTAGGGTGTGTGGAGAGGAGGAGGGAGGGAGGGGGAAGGGGAGGGGGAGGAGGAGGAGGAGGAGGAGGAGGGGGAGGAGGACTGTAGGGTTCTTGATGGTCTCTGAGCTTGGTTGTTTTCTTGCAAACATTTTATGATCCAACTGGGAAACATCATCGGCGGTAGAAGGGAGTAGAGTTTGCAGAGAAGAGAAGGATGACGATGACTGGGGTGGGGGGGTGGGGGGTGTCCTTGGTGCTGTCTTGAGCTTCCTTTTTTGCAGACCTTTTATTACCTAACTAACATCATCAGTGCTGGAAGGGAGTGATGTTTGGCCTAAATCTTCCCCCTTTTAATGTGGAAATTTTAAATTTGTTTTAATTATAGGGTTATGGGTAAGGCGTTTTAAATTGGGGAGCCATTTTGGATTTAATTTTGTTTTAAATGTATTTTAATGTTTATATTGTATGTTTTTTAATCTTGGCTGTTCACCGCCCCGAATCCTTCGGGAGAGGGGGCGGTATAACTCAGACAGGTGGCTGTCCAGTTTCTTTAATAGTCACTTTAACAGAATTGGAAAGGTCCTTGTAGGTCATCTAGTCCACCCCTACCCCCCCCAAAGCAGGAGACCCTACACCATTTCTGACAGATGGCAGTCGGGTCTCTTCTTGAAAGCTTCCAGGGATGAAGCTCCCACAACTTCTGAAGGCAACTTCTGTTCCATCGGTTGATTGTTCTCACTATTAGAAAATTTCTCCTTATTTCCAGGTTGAATCTCTCGTTGATAAGTTTCCATCCATTATTTCTTGTCTGGCCTTTGGGTGCCTTGGAAAATAGCTTGACCCCCTCCTCTCTGTGGCAACCCATCTAATGCCAGTGTTTCTGGGAGTTTTCTTGGTGATTCCTCTGTTTGTCTGAGTTAATTCTTGTTTGGGATCTAGATTGCTATTTGCGTTCAGTATCTAATGAGGTAATGAAACGTTTGCAAAAAAACACCCAGCTTAGAGAGCACCAAGGACCTCACAGCTCAACCCTGAACTATAAACATTTTCTTCTATTCCTACAACCCTGCGTGTTGCCGTCACTCCCACGATTTCAAGATAAACTTCCACTGAAGATGCCTGCTCAATTTAGCTACAACCGGCGGATGGTACCCCAGACTTAAACATTATACTAAACATCTGCTCATTCGCTCTACATCGGAAATATTATTTTTACATTTATTACCTGGCACAGATTTTGCATTGCCTTGAAAAGGTCATCAAATCGATTCACTTTCCCAGAAATTCAAGGTGGTTTGTAGTTGTGCAAATTCTTCACACAACGGAAATTTCCTCTTGTTACAATTCTAGAGCAGGAAAGCAAGAAAAAGAAAGCGCAATTATTATTACAAGATAATTTTTTCTCAAAGCCGGAAAAGATTTGCAAGAAGGTTTCCTGCTACCTCAAATATTGTCAAACTGTGCTTACAGGCAAACGTCCCGTAGAAAAATTGACACAACACAAAATGTCTCGTCATCTTACCTCAGACGACGATTGTGGTTGCAACTAAATTCAGTTTCCCTTTTTTTGGAATTTATAAGGAAACTGAGGTTTGCTCTCTCACTCCTCCTCCTGGCTCACATATGTACACAGGTAGTCCTTGACTTACAACCACAATGGAGTCCAAAATTTCTGTTGCTGAGCAAGACAGTTGTTAAGTGAGTTTTCCTGCATTTTACAACCTTTCCTGCCACAGTTGTTAAGTGAATACCTTCAGTTGTTCCGTTAGTAAGTGAATCTGGCTCCCCCATTGAGTTCTCTTGTCAGAAGGTCGCAAAAGAGGATTACGTGATCCTGGGACACCGCAGCTGCCATAAGTATGAGTCAGTTGCCAAGCATCTGAATTTTGATCGTGGTCCTATGAGGAGGTTGCAACAGTCGTAAGGGTGAAAAACGGTCCTAAATCACTTTTAACGAACGGTTGTAAATCAAGGACTACCTGTACATATAAATTGAGATGGTTGGCTTTATTACATCTATTCATCCATCCAATAAATAAATAAATGAATGAATGATGCCTTGGGTGCAATCCCACAACATCTGGAGCATCAAATGAATGCCATCGGTGTTGACATAAATCACCATCGGTCAATTGCCAAAGGCAGCTTGACTTGGAGCTGTTTAAATAAATAAAACGCTAAAAGAGATGCAATTAATCTGGAATTTGAGGGGAAGAGGAAGAGAACAGCCATGCTGGCAACAGAGAAGCTGAATTGGGCCAATTTCTAAACTGGTATTACGGGAAATGCTCCTTCCAGGCTTCCTAAAATCCTGTTGTATTTTGGGGAGGGTCTTTTAAAATTTGTTGAGGCTCTCAGCTTAGACGATATTCCAGAAAAGTCTTCTGCTGTCCCCAGAGTCCTCAAGAACCAGTTGATGGCTTTCCGGCTGCCCAACAGCCTTCAACACCTCTGAACAACCACCTCGGCCTATCCCAGATCTTTGGAAAGAATTCAATAGGTAGAGAAAAACCCCAGATCCAGTCTAAAGCTGAATTTGCCACAAACCACAATCATAGTAAACACTGCGAGAGGAGCAAAAAAAAAATCCCCAGGAATTTAGAAGCATTTTTTCCCCCAACTAGAGGTGGTCCTCTACTTACGACCCAGAATTGACCCCACCCCCAAGTTTCTGTTGCTAAGCGAGACAGTTGTTAAATATGTTTTACTGCCAAGCGTCTGAATTTTGATCACCTGACTGTGGGATGCTGCAAATGTTGTAAGTGTGAAAAATGGTCACAAGTCACTTTTTCCAGTGCCGTTAAGTTTTTGAACTGTCACTAAACGAACGGTTGTAAGTGGAGGACTTCCTGTGGTTCAAACCGACCAGTTCGTTCTCACAGGGAGGGACTACTCAGGGTACAGTCAGTCAAATTATGCCGACTGGCGACTCCCAGGGGGAGGGCCTTCTCTGTGGGGGGCTCCAACCCTTTGGAATGAACTGCCCCCGGAGATACGGAATATCCCTGATCTCCGTGCTTTCCGCCGTGCCCTCAAAACCCTCATGTTCCAACAGACGGGGCTAAACATATGAACATGTGAATGTTTTTAAAATGTTATCTAATTTTAGGTTCTATTTAATTGGGCCAAACTATGTTCTAATAATAATTTTAATTAGCAATTTTATGATGTTTTGTGTATCTATATTTTTCTTGATTGTACACCGCCTTGAGTCCTACGGGAGAAAGGCGGTATAGAAATATAATAAATAAATAAATAAATGAATGAATGAATGAATAAATAAATAAATAATAAAGGCCAAAGGTTTCATGACCTGCACCTGCAAAACGGCTTGGCTGATATGCAGGATTTAAATCAGGTGGAAGGGAGCCCAAGAGAGAGGGAAGAGGCTGTTCTTTCCACAGGTGAGCACTTTGGACTTTTGCAGCACCATTGAGCAAGAAATGGTGGAATCTGCATTCATCCAAAGGTTTTAGGCTGTCTCGGAAGCTCTCCACAAGAACAGCCTGTTCTGAACATATGAAATGGCTCATAAGGTAATCGGACTTCCCTCAGCAAAACCGCTCTGCATTTCCCTCTCTTCCCCCTTACATCGGGTGAGCTACTCTGCCCATCTGAGGAAATGAATGGAGTGGAGTGGATTGGAATGGGGTGGGGTGGAAGGGGAGGGGAGGGGAGGGGAGATGAAGGGAGAGAGGAGAGGAAAGAAGAAAAGGAAAGAAAAGAAAAGAAGGAAAGGAAAGGAAAGGAAAGGAAAGGAAAGAAGGAAAGTTGGAAAGGAAAGGAAAGGAAAGGAAAGGAAAGGAAAGGAAAGGAAAGGAGTTGGAAAGGAAAGGAAAGGAAAGGAAAGGAAAGGAAAGGAAAGGAAAGGAAAGGAAAGGAAAGGAAAGGAAAGGAAAGCCAAAATGTGGTGGAATGTGGTCTGGATTCCCAGGAGGGAGAGGCTGCATTCCTGAGGGCCAAGAGATAACGAAGCTTAGATCATTTGGTTAGGAGGAAGAGAGTGGAGAAGGCTCCTGCCTGGCAACTCTCAAAAGATCTCTTTAGTCTAGGGACCTTGGTGCTCACTAAACTGGATTGTTTTCTTGCAGACGTTTCACTACCAAGCTAGGTAATACCATCAGTGCTAGAAGGGAGTGAGAGCAAGTGACATTCCCTTCTGGCATTAATGATGTTACCTAGTATGGTAATGAAACGTCTGCAAGAGCACCAAGGAGCCCTGATCTCAACCCCGAGCTACAAATATTCTCTACATCTTTAGAGATGCAAATATTTCCTTTGGTCTAGCACGATTTCTGTCTAGAAGAGAAGGACAATCCAGGAAAATGCTCCAGGGTTATGAATCCGCCCGGATCTCTCTCCGAACATGAGTTCGGAGGAGAAGAATGAGTTTTAGTCATCAGAGGAAAGTAAAGAGTCCAGCGATGGCCCGATTGGGACTCGGAGAGAGCTAGTCTGACGGAGCAGCTTCATCTGGATTGATCGGACGAACAACAGGCTGAGATGAACAAGGTGATGAGGAGGATCCAGGCGAAGACTGTCAGCAGCTGCTGGCTGTTAGTGATGAGGAGAAGATGGAATCCACACCTCCTCCCCATCCAAGGATATACGTGTTGGAAGAAATATCCTTCTGGTTCAGTTCCAAGCTGGGAGAAAAGCACTGGAGACAAAATGGAGGCTCGAGGCTGATTGGAAAAAGGGTCCATTTCTTGATGAAGCAGAACCACCAAGAATGTGTGATTCTATACCTTCTCTTGGGCTATGCACCTGAGCTTCCTGTTCCTGTGCAAGAACATGTCTTCTATTAGCTGTTGTCAGCCACTCAAGGGGGCCATGTGCAAATCCTAGGAGTTTGTCTGAGCTAAGCTTGGTTGAAGTTTGGCTGATGCAATGAAGGGCTTGTTGTTATGGTCCGCCAGCAGCCTGCGGAGCTGGCAGTGGAGTTAAGACAGTGAGGAGGCTGGGGACAAACATGGGAGAGTCCTGGAGTCTGGGGAAGGCCCGGATGAGAGCTCTGCTTTGGAGGGAGAGATGGGACCAGGGCCATCTGGGAGTGATCTGTGGACTCTGTAGCCCCCAGAGTCGGACTGCAGAGAGGCAGAGGAACAGGAGGAGCCTGTTTCTAGTGCATGCATGCGCAGAGCTGCCAGAAGGCAAGAGCAGCTAAAGCAAAAGGGACAACTCGGGAGTAAGGCCAGGAGATGATTGGCCCCTCCCATTGTTATGGAATGATGGGACCAAACAACATTCCTGGGTCAGCCAGAGACAGTTTTATTTGCGCAGTTTCAGAACCAGATTTGTATCTGCCATTCTGAACAAGGAAAGAGCCCTGATATGACTGCTTTTATACATATCCAAGACAAAGGACTTTGCTGGCACAGCAGTTTTCCATATATGGTTAACATACATCCGTTACATGATAATTGACACTTTTTAATTAATGAATTCCTACATTAATTTATAGTACATGAGATACTTTTAGTTAAACATCCTCCTTAGTTCGGTATCTGCTGATGTATAGATTTATGGCTTCCTTTGTTAATAATTAACTTTTTGCTTCAGATGGATGTCTCTGCATCCTTGACAGATATCTTCCTTGGAAGACATATATTATACATGGTCCTTGCATCTTTGACAGATAGGCCTCCCAAAAGATATGTTGCCAAGAATGGAATTTCGCTGACTTTAGTGTAATTTCTAAACAAGCACTTTTCTGTCTTATAATAATGTGAATAAAGAGGGTCCTGTTCATATAGCTGATCTTATACCATTCACATTATTATTTTATTCACATTATCCACTTTACCATAAGGCTTAAAAGACAAACCAAGGCACTTGGGCCTTTTTGCAGGAAAGCAACTTTGGTAACTCTGTTTCCAGTCGGCATCTGTTGTTTGTTTCTGAACTTCGTGGGGCTTTGCCAAGTAAGGCCTTTGGCAGGGTGTCAAAGAAGATAAAGGTTGGTGATTATTCCGAAGGACTTGTTTTGCTACTAATTGGGACTTGGCTCGGAATGAACGTAATTCTCATCTTACAATAAAATAGGTTTGTTCGGGATTAATTGTGTCTTGTAATGAGTAAGCCTAGGTCACAACACTTGTTGGGCAATTCCTATTGTGGCTGAGGGCTAATCCTACCTTTGTTCAGACCTTGCTGCAGGAATTTGCTTATGAATAGAGCTAGCTATCTCTTTATCTCTTAAGTGCTGACATCTGCTGAGGGCTATTAAGAAAGGTAGGGGATGCTTTCCCAAGAGCATGTTTCTCCATTTCTCACCCAGGGAAATATAATATTCTGCCTTTTTAATATTTCTCAAAATATTTCATTCTTCTAGTGCAGTGTTTCC